TTGAACACTGCATCTGCATGCAGAAAAGTTTTAATGAATGCTCTAACTGTGGCTCTAAAAATGTGACACTTGTGCACAGGCACTGCTGTAAGGAGAACTTTATGGAGTGGACACTTACAACATTATGTGTATTGTTGCTAAATAAACTCACTGCTGTCATTAGCAGCAAGCTGTAATGGAAATGGGAGCCCATTCTGCAGCTCTTGTCACTAATTGGGATGTAGATGCCAAAATGACAATGCCTGAAAATACCTTGGCTAGATGGACGGAGGGTGAGACAGGCATTCTGTGCAGGCGAGGCCACTTCTCCTGTCCTTGTCCACTTCACATAGCAAGTTTGTTAGCCTTGTGCGTCTGATTTATTAAATATGCCTTTTGTCTCTTTCCTCTTTAAACTCACTTGTTGTTACAGGTGTAATATAATTATTATGTACAAGAATATTTACTGTCTGCAGTAAATACAATTAATTAGTCCCGATACACGTAGTTTTCATTTTATTTGGCATGCTATAAATCATTTCTGAATCAGCAAATGGCACTGTAGCAAGCCTAGTAAACTAAATGCTGTTTCACTTACTTAGCATTGCTTAATAATTGAATAAAAAGAAGTGCTGTGTAAATGGCGTGGAAGAAATATCTAGCATCACTCTTACCAAAATGAAAGTTTTTTAAAGCCAAACCTCATTTTCAGCATTGCAGCCAGAGCAAACAACTTTTTAATTATCTCTTTGAGGAAAAAAAATGTATCCAGATATAAAATAATCTGTAATTTTCTTTTGCCAGAAGTTGCATTTTATGCCAGCGAGGTCATGAGCTTCTTGCAAAACCATTTGGTAGCACACACAGTGGTATTTCATTTTTGAAATCACCATGCATTTTCCTGATTTCCTTGTATTGATAAACTTATGCTACAGCCAGAAATAGTTCGAAGGCTAAGGCAAGGCACTTCCACACTCTTGGAAGTGAGTTGGAAACTTCCAAAGGCTTCAGAGATATTTCCCCAGCCAGGCAACATGCATGCACATCCATGCACGCACACACACTTCTGTGTCTGTAGAGTATGTCTGTAGAGTACATAAATTACGTGTATTTATTTGGTAGTGAATTAATGAGCAGTATGTCACAGTTCTTGTCAAAGTCATGTTTAAAAATGTGCATTTGAATGTTAATTGAATAAATTGTTCAACAATATCAGTTGATCAGTTTTATTTACAAATACTCTGTGTCCGGAAGCTAAATTGAAGGAAATTACATACCAGCAAAGGGATTTATATATCTTTCATGTAAATCATATAGTCAGGGTTCACAAAATCTCAAGACAGATAATCCTCTAAAACTGTAGCATTGTTTACCTGCAGTAGAGGTATAGCAAAGAACTTAGCAGAGCTCTTAATGGTGCTAAGGTAGCTTGCTTCATTCATGGCCTTGGGAGCAGCCTCGTGAGGTGATAGCTGTAACACTTGTTCGCATAGAAAGCAAAGCCTATTAGCTATGGGGTTCTTCTCCACCAGGGAGTATTTATGGAACCACTAACCAAGGTCTAAGTGCTCAGGACAGCTTGGGTTTTGCAGGTGCGTGGCAATAAGAGGGCGCTTAGGGGCAGCATGGGCCTGCTCGTGCTGCTCCCTCTGATCAGCAGCGTAGTAGAGGGAGGCAGATGCCTTTAAATTTGTTTAGCGACAGTGGCTGATATTCAATCTTTGTTTTTAGAAAAGGATTAATGGAAATCAGCATCACAGCCTTAGAAAGGGTCTCCAACTGGTGTGTCATTCGTTCACAGAAGTTGGAAAAGAGCTCGACTTGAGGTGTCGTCAGGACTTTGACAGGGCTCCTCGGCAGGTTCCTCTGAATCATCTCTCTGCTCTCAAGAAACACTCTGCTCTCCGAGTGCTCTGCGGATGATTATTTTAACATAATTAAAAAATCATAAATGCATTTATATCCAAGAGGTTGTAGCTAGGCGCTCTGCAAGGAAAAAGCAATTCAGACAGGTTGCTTATTTCAGTGTAAAATCACTTGGTATACACAAGTTTATTATTTATAAGCCATTATGTAGAAACCAATTGTTTATTTATAAGTAATCTCACACATTAGCAGACAGGTATAAGGTTATAAGTTTATGTTATGGATTTCCTACTTTTTGTATTTTCCAAGGTGGCGAAATTTTTCTGCCTTTATCATTTTTAAGCAGTACCTTTGTGGTGAGATATTGGCCTAGCTGCATGGTACCCAGTGTAAGAAAAAAGGCACATAGAGGGTAATAGTATAAGTTCTGATATGAGTTCTGATTTATGAGTTCTGATTTTTTTAAAAAAAGTAATTGTCCAAATTGCCACAAATTTTTACAAATTACCAAATTTTTACAAAATTTTGCAAAAAAAAATCTACTTGTAGCTTATCCATATTATATATCCATATCCACAATATATTCATATTCTAATACAGAGGTTCACATGGGCAAAAAAACCCACAGACTACTGCCTGGAGGACCACAAATGAGAGTGAGAATACAGTGCCCAGTGTTAAAAATATATCCTTCCCTCACCCAGAATGTTCTGCTCAGATATATTGTCACCATATCTCTAAAGAAATAAAGCAAAAATAGAGCAGTGAAGGGAACGGAAATAATTCAGTATGCAAAGCAGGTCCTGTCTGAAGAGCTTCTGGAGAGGCTTGGGCCCTCACGTGAACAGGGAGACCACTAGGAGGTGGAGACCAACCTCGAGGCGGCAAGTCGTACTCATAGCTCGTGGCAAGGATGTTCATGGAAAAACGGGGGGCAGGTAAATCTAATGCCACTAGGAGAAAAGTCTTGTTTGGAAGAATCTATAAGCTACCTGTGGAAATCATAGCCCTCAGATCCTACACAAGCTGACAATTTTGTGCTATTAGAACAGTTTTGGTGGTTGATGTGTTATTGAGAATATCTGCAGTTATATTAGGCAGTTAGCTATTAGCTAAGGGATAAATACCCAGCTACTTCTCACGTGAAGCCAGTCACGAGCTCCCAGAAGTCAGGATGCAGAAGCTTCCTGCACGAGCACAAATCTCGG